CGAATATTTATTAAATCAGTGTTTGGAATTTTTTATTACTTTCCATTAGTTCACAAGAAAGAAAAACTATTCATAGATATTATCATTATTTGTTTACTTTCATCAAATAGGAGTTAGGCAAAGTAGATTAAGACTAAAGTATAGTTCTTGTGGGAACGATAATTCAGATTCAATGGTCTACTATATTACTTATTACGATATCGTACACTTACGATAGAACAAACACAACAATGTAATTTGATGAGAGTTGTTTCATGTTTCCAATAAGTGAGAAATGTGTGTATTTAGATTATTTTAAGAAGTTGGCATATTAAGTGAGGAAAATTTAATAAGGATATATTGGTAAAGGAACACAACAAAATATTCTACATCAGGTAACAGACCTACATATTTGGGATAAGAGAAAAAGGAAACTCTGCCTATATAATTGAGATGGAGGGAGTATATATATAGTTATATATTTGGAAGTATAAAACTTGTGGGTGATTGTTGTAACATTTTTGGATTAATAGTAGAAAACTCTCTTAAACGTTTTCACGTGCGATATACATTCTATTTATTGGAAATTGCAGAAAACTCTCCCATTAGAAACTTTTTGTGCGGAAATCCCGAGTCGTCAAGATTTGTTAGATTTGTTATTAAAAAGAATAAAAATGTTAAAATTAAAAGTAAATAATTACAATTTCAGTACTCAAACTTTTTATTTATTTACAAATTAAATCCAAAATTTTTATATGTGTCACAAACAATTTCAAATATTTAAAACTTTATTTTCCACCCCACCCCGCTTCATCTTCATCCCCAAAAATAAAAAATAAAAATAAAAATAAAAATAAAAATAAAAATAATGTTGCTCTTTAACGTCCATTAGTGGAGCTTCCCAATTCCAAAAAAAAAGATCTCCACCCTACAAAACAAATTTTCATCCTATCAGGCCAGACCAACATGATAGGCCGTAACAACGTTGACAAGTAGAAAAAATAGGAAAGCGTTGTTTCGTTGGACTCATGAATGACCCTTCGAAAACCCAATGACAAAATATTCTTTCGACCCCATCGTTAAAAGATGAGTTAGATATAAGAATTATGCTATTCAACAACTTTGGATTACACTTTGGATTACTTGACTTTACCTCCTCCCTCACATGGAGGTCGAGTCCCACATCCAACAAATGCGTGGGACCCAATCCCCATGTGAGGGAGGGGTGAGTTTGAGTAACCCAAAGTGTAATTCAAAGGGTACATGTAGCAAGACTCTGAATATAATGATTCCGACCATCAAAAACTTGGATTTCCCCGAGATGTGGAGACCCTTTTTCCAG